AGGTGTGATCTTCCCAGCCAAGCTGTGTGTGTAGGCTCACATGGACCCACTGGGATTCAGTATTGCCCTTCTGAGGCTATGGAGCAGATGGGCACAGGAGACTTAGAATGGCCTTTGCCATCAGCAGTTTTGGGGCATTCACATACAACCGATAAACTCTCCCCAAGGCCTGTCTTACTTTTTCAGTTTATACAGCCACTCAGAAGTCCTCTGCCCCTCTGTGTTGCTTAACCACCCATTTTAGTGGGAATGATGGTTCCTGCCTGTTTCTGGGGACCGTCTGGTTCCATGCACCTTATTTTAACTGTCACAAAATGCCAGCTGCTCCACACCAGTTCTGCAGCTCAGGCTTTGCTGCAGGTATCATCCAAGATAATACTTGGGAACAAGCATGCAATTTAGGAGACCCCCAATGAATTTTTGCATTCCCAATATGTACCTGAGCCCCTATCCAAAACCTGCAAAATGTACTGGAGTTTTTAATTTGGCTCCACTGAGATTTGGATCTGGCCCTCAGTAGCTGGCACCTCTCCAGCCTGTCCAGCCCAGCAGGCTTTTTCACACATCCATTAATTACACCAGAGAAACTCTCACCCTCTACCATCATTAGTGATTTCTAAGGCTTCCTGGGAAGACAGTGTGACAAGAGCACAAAGCTGAGGCAGGAGCCCTGGCAAGCTGTGAAGGAAAGTAGTGGAGGGTCAGAGCATCCTTTGTGGAAGGGATTGTTTCTGAAGGTGCTATTAAAATACAGCAGGAAATAGAAGACTTTCAGTGGATTAAATGCAATCTGTAAAGTAGCAGGCTGGCAAAGCTAGGATTGCATGTGTATGGATCACTTGCCCTCAAAATGCAAATGCCATACAGTAAGGATATAGGATTTGGGATAGAAAATGGAACTTCCTCACAAAGTCCTTGCCCTATCTCAGCTCATTTCTCCTTTCTTTTCATACTCCTCTCCATTTTTGCCTAATTTCTTAGTGTTTTTGCTTCATTAGGCTCATCTGATCTTGTGCAATAACTCATTCTTCCCTTTGGTTTCCATCTACTGCCAGTTCTCCACTTCTCTCCATGGGTGCACCAGATGCTTATGGTACACATCTCTCCTTGTTCTCTGTCTTCTGCTTCTTCCTAAATATTTCTGGCTCATTCTGTGCTGTGTGTCCCCTTTCTCTTTCATTTTCTGTGAGATTATTTCTCTTCCTCCTTTGGCATCCTGGAAACCAGGTCTAGTTCTTTCTTCTCCTTGTATTTTTCTTCTCTCCATCACCTGCATAGTGGACTTACCCTGTTAACTCTGTATCCTGTATCTCAAAGCACACACATTTCTAGCAGCCTGTAGTCACATAAGGGAAAGCAATTGAGCAATTGTTTTTACAGTGGGCCTCTTTAAAACCCAGGCAGTGGGCTCAAAGAAAAAAAAAACACACCAAGAAAAAAAAACAAAAAAAAATTTAAAAAATTTTATAAGTCTCTGTGTAGTTTTAGCCACTTATGACATCTACATGGGCTGCAAGGGTGTCCTCCCCACCCCTGGCGCTTACCTTCCTGTTGCCTGTACACATCAAACACAGGTGTGGGGTGGCAGCACTGGCAATGCTTCCTGCTCTGAAATAGGGACAGAGGAAAGGCAAGGCTAGCAAGTGACACCCGTGGCTCACACCACTGAGAAGTGCTGCTCCTTAGAGCAGTTTTGAGATGCATGCAATGCAGATCATACAAGCTGTATTTTGAATTATGCCTGGTCACTGATTCCCCATCATTTTCACCCACAGTATGAAATGTTGCATGAAAGCTCATGCAGCCCAAGCCTTCTAAGATCTGAGCAGACATCCTCAAGTCCAAATTTCATACTTGCTTTGCATCCTTTTTTCTCCTTCTCCCTGCAGATGGAGAAATAGGTCTGCCGAGTTTACTGTTTCACTGAATATTTGTATGCACTTTCAGAAAAATGTTGTAACAGTCGATAGGTTTTATCACATTTTTCCACCACCTAGCCAATCTCCCACTGTGCTGAGCAACACAGTGTTGGGTTCTTAGGAGTTTTGGATTTTCTCCCTGTCACTGTTTGTCATGTGCAATATCCAAAGGATTATTTCTCAAAATCTCAGCAAACAAACACCCTCTCACCTCCCCCCTACACACACAGACACCTTCCTACATCTTCCTTGTTCATCTGCAGGGAAACTAGTAGTATTTTCCTTCCCCACAGGGACGGGAGAAACAGCTTTTCCCACCACCTAGATTTACCCATTGAAGGTGCTGGAGCTGGAGGCATTGTCCTGGGAGAGGGAACCTTGCAAGGCATCCACCATTCCAATGTCTTGGGTGGGAAGTGACAGCTCCAGCCCCCAGTCTCTGGACTGAATGCTCCTGCTGGACACAGCCCGTGATGACCGGGCTGGCTGCTTCGGCTCAGCAACGGGACGAGTGTCTGACCCCACACCAAAACCTGGCTCCAGTGCTGGTGTTGCCACGATGCCAGTGGGGCTGGCAGGCAGCAGGGAGCCAGTGGCAGCTGCAGGAGAGATGGGACCTTGTCCAGCAGGGAGACAAAACAAAAATCAGGGAGAGAGGAGCAGAAGTCTATTGTCTTTGGTTTGTTTATTTCAAATCCCACTCGGTGCCAAGGTTTGCCAGGAAGGTTTGTAACAGTGACTCTTTTATTTTCATGCCACTTATTTTTAAGAGAGAACCCACATGGAAATTAAAGCAGCAAAGCTCGCTGCCTATGTAATGGCCAAGTAAAATAATTAAAACTCAGCATTGGTGTCATGCCAAAAATGCTGAGAAATATGTCTGATTTGGGTATAAGTAAATTCTTGGAGCATCTTACTGACCAAAGGCTGCATAAATACAACTAAATATATACCTGGAGGGCAACAATCACATATAGAGAAAAAATATGTTCCTCTGTTTAGGCAACACTTCCTTCTCTTCAAGACCTAAAGTTTTAGGTAAATATGCTAAGATTTGCATTGAAATCAGAAGATCTGGCAACCTCATTTGACTTTCTGGTGCCCTCCTTGGAACCCCTCAAATACTGACCCACACCTCAAATGCTGACCCACACCTTCACTTCAAGGAGCTCACCATGGCCATCAATGATCTCTTCGACAGACACAGGAGTTAAATGGGTCCCCCCAGCTTGTTTGGGTCACTTGTGTTAGACACTTGCCCAGAATAAGCTGTAAAACTACTCAGCAGAGGGTGCTGGTACAAAACAACAAGGCTTGCTCACCATACCTGTTGGGTGAGGCTCAGCTGGTCCCTGTGGGGGCACAGGGGCTACGGCATCAGGCTTCTTGTCATCAAGAGTCTTGTTTTGCCCTCCCTGAGCCACAACAGCAGATTCAATCTTTGCCCAGTAAACAAAGTATGACTGGACTATGGAGATGCTGTTAAAACATAATCAGGCAAGAATTTACTGGCTTTATGGCATTAATAAAACATCTGACTGTTTAGCTAATCACAAAGACTGCTTTAATCTGAACACAGAACCAATGCACAAGTATTTTAAAGGATTACCCTGTCGTACATTTTCTATTACAAATAAAACGTACCAGGTCCCTTAAGAAAGATTCAGGGTGAGGAATCACCACTCAATTAATAATTAAGTTCAGCCAAAAAATGTGTGGGAACTTAAAAAAAAATATTTAAAAAAGCTCTATTACATTCATCATGTTGATTGAAGTACATTTGTAGAACTTGGACTAGCTCTGTTTATAATCTTCTGTAGGCAGGGAAACAACAGTGGTATTTATTAATTAAAACAAGCCAATGTAACTTCTACAAACAGCAGAATAGGTAAGGTGAAGAAAAAGTCTCTCTTCTCAGCCTGATATTTGAGCCTGATATTTGAGCCTGCCTAATCCTCTGCTTTTTGTCAGGTGCCAAAATTGTTTTGGCCAACCTTTAACTTCACCCCGAGAGCCTTATTTAAGCTGGACATGAATTTGGGAGAATTTCAGCTCAGATTGCTCAGCTGCTTCTGAGAATTATCTAAGGGGAAACCAACCTGGGTTTTCCTGTGCCAGATGACACTTACAAGGTATTTTTAAGCCTAACAAGGCATTTTCCAGATGCTGTGGCAGGGTAAAAAGGGAGAGTCTATCAGATATCAGCTCAGAGGGTCAAAAGCCAGAGTGTGAAGGACGTATCAGAGTGGGTGACTAGGACTAGGTCTTGTTGGGATTTGTTTGGGTTTATTTGGGTTTTTTTGTGAGTTTAATAGTATTTCTTTAAACTTTATTGATTGTTTGATCTAAAGCAATGGCCAAAAATTGGAAATTCCAAGTAGCAATATTTCTGCTTCAATGAATTTTGAATCATGATGAGATGCTCAAGCCACAACACTCAACAGGATGTTTAGGATTTGGGAAGCAGCCAAGGATCTGGCCAAGCAGTTTCTAAATGATTTTGTAAAGTTGAAATATAACAATTTCATCTCTTTTGAAATTAAAAGCCACTGTGCTTCCTCTAAGGCAGTTTAGGAGATATTTAATTTCATTCCAAATCAGAACCAAGCTACTTGGACAGTTTGGGACTTTGGTGCAAAAAGAGAGATGTCAAGTTTTGACACAGTGCTCACTCTCTATTGTGAATAATTCTGTATGCATTTAACTTTTTTTAAACTCCTTTTGTTTTTTCCTTAAGAAGTGACATACAAGATTATACTGTAGGCAGGGAGGTCCTGTGGGCTGTATTATTTACAAAGACAGGCAACATGGTCACAGTTCTCTCTTTATGCCTTAATATTTCTGTTTCCTAAAATGCTTAAGCTGTCATCTTTCAGTGTATCTATTCTGAGAAAACAGTGACCATGTAAATAAAAAGCAGCACTACTCAGCAGATATTAATAGTGATTTATGTACTAGCTGGGATGCTGTTGCAGCATTTGGTAAGTATTTAGCTATATTGGGTTCAAGATACAGAAAGGCACTGTGCTGGACAGCCTGTAACTGAGAAGACACAAATTCTGATTAGGAACCAGCACATCCTTACAAAAACTTGATGTCTCCCATGGGTTGATCTGGTGCTTTCCATACGAAGGACAGGTTTCTCTTCAGCGACTTGTCCGAGTGTGTGACAGTGTCACCATCTTCGAAACAAGTCAGCAGCTTGGAACCAGGAGGCAGGAAGATGAACGTGCCAGCAATTTCGTTGTTGGACACTTTGCGAGCTTGCAGCATAAAGCCCATGTAATCCCGGGTGCTTCTTACTGTCACTTTTAGAAAAGAAAACACGGGACACAAAGGGATTTGTCTTGCTGTTATGGAGTAAATTGCCTGCAATGGAGTTTCCAGAAAAAACCTTGGGCAACACTACTGAAAACACCTTACTGTCTTTGTTCTCACAGTCTGTCTTGGATGTGCTGGATACAGAAGGCCAGACTTTTACCTTTGGTTTTGCAGTGTGTAATTGCACACAGGATTTGCCTGAGACTTTCCCCACCCTCTCTATCCCCCCATCCCTCCTTGATGATGTTAACCACATTGGATCAGGCAGCATGCAACTGAACCATTTTTAAGGAAGGAGGTTTGGACACCACTCTGTATGTGTGTGAAAGCTTGTGTTCTGCTCTCAGAAGGGTTTTGTTTTGCACAGGGATGAACAGGCAAGTGGCCAAGCTGGGGAATGGTGCCTCTTAGCTCTGTCTGCATCTGCCTGAGGAGCAGCAATGCCAGGGATGGGGAATGCTGCCAACCATGCCCAAGAGTCAGGTGAGTCACCTGGACCCCTTAGAGTGGTGCAGAGGGGCTGGGAAGGCACTGGAGGTGCCTCTCGTGTGCCATTGCATGTAACAAGGTTTGGTATGGTTGAGACACAGCTGAGATAAAGGAATCCCACCCAAAGCACCCATGCTGCAAACAGAACTCCTCTGTAAATATGTCCTCACGACAAGAGGGATGTTGTAGCTCACTCAGAGCAGTTAGCCATCTTCCCAGACCTCACAGAGATTAATTCCATTGCTTGAGATAAGTTGCCGTGTTTTTTTCAGATGCAGGAATGAGAAGTTGTTCCTTACCTGGCACCTTGTCTCCTGGGAAGTAGAAGGACATGTTGGTGTGGACTGTGACGTAGTTGTTGTTGGAGCTGTGCAGCTGCACCCTCAGGTGCCTGGGCATCATGTCGGTGCAAGCGGAAAGGCTCGCACCCTGCGAGAAGGCGGCCGCATAGGAGACCAAGCACAGGGTCGTGCAGGCCCAGCCAACAATGGCAGTGTGGGCTCTCCCACCATCCTCCATCCTACAGCAGGAAACAATGTGGAGTTCACTTCAAAGCAGTGACTTCCCGAATGGTGCCATTGATTTATCTGATCTCCAGAGCCACCTTCCCCACTGTCTTTAAACATAAGGGAATAAGTGATTTCTGTGGCACCTGGAGCCACTTTGGGAATCTATAGCATTTACATTCTGAAGTAAACTCTTCAGGCTGGGAGAGAGAAGAGCCCCCCACAAGAGGATGTATTTCTTGTGAAGCTGCCCATGGAGGGAGTGGGCAGAAAAGATTTCTCTAAAAGGTCTTGTGGGGTTTAGGAGGAGAAGCAGGCTCTGTACAGCCACACTCAGCACCCTCCACTACTCCCAGCCAAAATGTACAGCCTGGTCAACAGGGGGAGCATCTGCCCCTTAGACCTGCAGAGCTGCTGCAGGCCCCATCACATATGGGGCTGGTGGCCACGGCAGAGCCTGTGCCTGCCTGCCATCACAGAGCTGCATCCCTGCGGTGACAGCACAAAACACATTTCCAGATTGAAGAGTATCGTGCCATTCTGCTTTTTCAAAATGTGCTTTGCAAAGTGAAGATGAAGGGTGAGTGTGTGGCATTTATTGTAATGGATATCGCAAAGCAGGTACTTTTGATTTTAATGTAGCGCTTTCTAACATCTTCTTTTCAACATGCAGCCTTTCCTGCCTTAGATGTCATTACACTTAGTCAATGAGCAAACATAAATAAATCAGAGGAAACAGAGGCTTAGGAGGTCTAACTTACACCTCCCTCTCAAGCACTTCTGAATCTTGCCAGCTGACTAATGAAGCACAACTGCACGCAAAACAGTTCATGCCCAGCCTAAAGCAGCAAGCAGATGGATGCATTTAACCTTCCACAGTCAAGCATCCTGCCACTCCAACCAGTTGTGTGCCAGAAGATGCATGTGAAAATCACAGGAATCTTTGATAACTCTCCCAGCCCTCCTGGACCAGCAGCAGGATGTCTCCTCTTCACGGAGCCAGCCTCCAATCTGGGCACACCTACACCTCCCTTGCTGGATAAGATTTCTCGCAGGAGCTCATGGAAGTAGCCCCGAGGAGCAGCTCTTTCCCTTGGCTGTTGCCCCGGCTGTGCCGTTTCCCACCCCAGCCCCACCGCCCACCGGTGCCCATCCCCGCGGGGAGCAGCGCTGCTCCCGGGGCTGCCCGGGCTCCGGCTGCCGGTGCCGCCGGCGCTTACCTTGGGACACGTTCACTGCTGGGCTCGCTGCCACCACTGCCCTGCCAGCCTGCCGGAGACCCATCCTTTCAGGGACCCTCCTCGCCTGCTCCTCTAATGGGAAGCACAGCAGCTGTTACTGCTAATACCCACCACCCACGGCAGCTCTCTGCCAGTGCCCAAATCCTGCTTTAATCCTATCAGTTTTTTCTTCACATCCTACCCTTTTTTTCTTTTTTTTTCTTTTCTTTTTTTTTTTTTTTTTTTTCTGTGTGTGTGTGTTAAATCTCCAAGTTTCTTCAATGAAAACAAAGGCAACTAGTGGGGAAGGGAGGGGAAGACCCACATCAAATCATGGGGTTTGTGTGGGACACCCTGAAACTCCTTTGCAGAGGTGCAGGAAGATGGGACTTTTTCTTCTCTCTTACCCTCCCCACACACACATCCCCTTGTTCATGTTGAAGCAAAGCCAAGCCACATCAGCACCCTCCATGACCCCTGAGCAGTGTGCCCTGTCTCTCATGCTTACCTGGGATTAATTTTGGCAGTAAAAGCAGAATTTTGCTACAAAGGCTGGGAAGGTTCATCCCATGTGCCAGCCTTGCCAGAAAGAGCCATCAACACCCCACAAATCCCCTGAAGCTGGTGCTGGGGACCAAACCTCTGATAAGTGTGACTGTCCCCTGGCACATGAGCTGTATTCATGTCCAGGCTATCAGGCCTGCTCCTTGCCTGAGCTTTGCTGCAGCTGTGCTGGCAGTCGGTGGCAGAGCTGATCCTGTCCCTCCTCACTGCAGACTGCTCTGCTGATCAGGGCTCTCTGACGACCCTGGCCACTGTCACCAGGCTCGCCCTGCTCCCTGCCAGTGCCTCATCTCTGCCCGTGGTGCCTTATCTGTAATCCTGCTTGGGATCTGACCATTGTGTGAGCCTCTCCAGAGGGGGCATCCTGGTGACCTCTGCCTAGGACACCCCCCAAATACTGGGGGCAAGCTTGCAGATGCTTCACTTACTAGTGCTGCTCCTGTCCACCTGCCCTGCTCTACACCCTGTCTTTTGGAAGAGACACAGAATGCTGGGCTGGCACTGAGGTTCTGCTGCTGACAGCCCAGCTCTCAGCTGTTTAACTGGTTAGAAAGTATGGAAACTGGTGGTACTGGGCTCTCATAAGCCTGCTGTCCTCTGCATTTCAAAGACACCTTAAAATCACTCAATTTCAATATATAAGGTCAGTCTTGTAGTTTTCTTTCCTTTTCTCAGTGGAAACAGAGCATAGTTCAGGGGAGGGAGGAAAAGTTTGCATTCTTGATTGTTCCAGCTTGCGATTGCCCATCCTTCCTATACAAAAGAGAATACCTTTATGCTGTATTGATGGCTAATCCTTTCCTGAAACCAGCCCGTCCCTTACAGTTTTTCCTTCCTAACTTATTCCTAAACTCAGTGAGGGCCATTTCTCCACTGACTCCCATCTGGAAAAGAGGGAAAAGCAGCCAAGTGCAGATCCTGAAACAGCAGTGTTCAGTGTTCCCTGGAGCACCATGCAAAGCTGTAGGGAGAGGAGGCTCAAACAGATCCAACCCATGTGTAACAGCAGAGGATGTAGGGCAGCATTGAACAGTCCATGCTCAATTCCAAGGCTGCAGCAGCCTCTGGCAGGGCAGGGCATGCAGCTGTTCACAGGTGCAGCAGCACCAGTCAGATGGCACTGCCTGCACAGTGTTAATTGCTGGGTTGATCTGAAATACAGCCTTACACAGCATTCATCCTCACTGTCTGCTCTCAAGCACAGGAACTCAATGGCTTCAAAGCCACAGTCAAAGCAAATGTCACAACCATCTCCTCAGAGGTGGAAAAAGCCTGTCACAGTCATTGCCATGACACAAGCACCTACCAGCAGCTTCGAACTGCTCATTCAAATGCCAAGTGACAGGCAGATGTTTCCAATAAGAAATACAGCCCTCTCAGAGCCTTTGGTTGCATCACCCACCAGGACAGCATTGCCTCAGCCTTCTCTGGCCGGGGCTGTGACCTGCTGGAGTCACTTGAGCTCAGCCGGGCCCAGCTCTGACCATGGGGCCCAGACAGACCACGTGGCACCGCTGGAACTGGACAGAGGTTTGATTTTTGTCATAAATGTCTTCATTAGTAGTAAGCTGCCAGAAGAATGGGACATAAGACAACTTACACCCTGCCTATTGTTTTCCCAGCAGCGTTTGTGTAGTGGATTTCTAGAAGGAAAAAAGCCCCACAGACCACAGCTGGGAATCTGAAATAGCACTGAGGACAACTGTGTATGCTCTGTAACGACTTGATAATTAAGATAGAGTATAAATCATATAACTTGAAATGTCACTGGAAAGTGCACAGAAAGATTATAAATCCAGTAACACTGAAGGTTCTCTGGTCAGAAACTCTGTCCTTCTTGCAGATGTGCTTCTACATCTCCACATCACCAGGGCACAACAGGGACAGCACATGTGGAGCAGGTGCAGTGGAGATCAGTTTGTAATATGGGCATGGACATAAGAAACTCAGAGCTTACACTCCAGAGCAAGCTGGTTGCTTCATTGCATTGCATGACAGGTGGGGAAATCCTTTTCTCCTGCAAAATAATAAGGTTTTTAATGAGATAGAAGTCACTCCTGGTCAGCTGGAGCCACCTGAGTCCTGTGAACAAAGTTTGAGGGGGTTTAGGGAAGAATGGGCAGGTTGATCAAGTAGACAGCTTGAAGGTGGCAAGAGCTGAGTTCAGATCACGAGGAGCTGATCATTAAACCAGCAAAGCTGACAGCACCCCCTTATTTAAGAATATTTCAAGTAATCTTTAAAACAAAGAGCAGTGTCCAGCTGTGAGATGAGTAGTTAAAAAGCCATGGTAGTCCCACAGGGAGAATGGAGAACGAGCTCTACAAACTGGCATCTCAGGGTTGACCTGTGCACACTGTGCCTCTGTCTTTGGGGAGACCAGGATGTTTCTCTGATACTAGTTAGGCAGAGGGTTGGCAAAAGTACTGGCAGGTCCTTCCCCTTTTATCCAGTTGACTATTCTTGGTGTTCTTCTGTCACTTACTGAAGTGTGATAATGTCTAAAATGTCACTGCTGGCAATGAACTGGCATATACACATGCATGCATCATACATTGTGAGCCTCTTTCCCTTACAAATTCAAACCAAAATAACCCTTTATTTGGTAACTACTGCAACCTGGGCAGCTGTTCTGCTCTAGAGGAGGGATTGAGGGGAGGGAAGTGAAAAAGAGAGAAAGAGAAGAAAAGAGAGAGATGGAGAGGTACAGCCTAGCTACAAATAGCTTAATGATTGCTTTAATAAGACTGAATAAGATGAGGAATACAGACAGCAGGTAAAACGCCCTCAGACACTGGACTCCTCATGTGCACATAGCATCAGTCAGAGCCCACATGGATTTTCCTGCAGTGTGCTGCACAAAGCAGATGCAAACCATCCATGGAGAGCTGCTCTCCCTTTTCACCACTTGAGCTATTTTATAATTTCCATACAGAAAACCAACCCTCTATTCTAAAGGATGATCTCTTGCTGCTCTGTTAGATAAAGGCAAGACCAGGCAGGTGGTGTGATCATGGCACCGAGGGGGAGCTGCCCGTGAGCTCCCTTAGGATGATCTGGCTGGGGGATCCTGTGGCTGAGAGTCCCTCACTCAGGGTCAATACAGCAGCCCAGGAAATGCCCCCTCCCATCTGACTTCAGGGCTTGGAGAACAGTTTGGCACAGAAATCCAAGAGTTTGAACCTGCTGACTCTCCAGGCTTGTTTTCAAAACCAACACAGGGCTGGAG